TAAGGTGTCAGTCAGTGGTTGTTCAGGTGTCAGTAAGTGGTTGGTAAGGTTTCAGTCAGTTGTTGGTAATGTGTCAGTGAGTGGTTGTTCAGGTGTCAGTCAGTGGTTGGTCAGGTGTCAGTCAGTGGTTGGGCAGGTGTCAGTCAGTGGTTGGTAAGGTGTCAGTCAGTGGTTGGGCAGGTGTCAGTCAGTGGTTGGTAAGGTGTCAGTCAGTGGTTGGGCAGGTGTCAATCAGTGGTTGTTAAGGTGTCAGTCAGTGAATGATATGGTGTCAGTGGTTGGTCAGGTGTCAGTGAGAGGTTTGTAAGATGTCAGCGGTTAACAAGGTGTCAGTCAGGGGTTGGTGAGTGGTTTTGTGTGGTTCATAAGTAAGGACTGATATAGAGCTTGAGTTGGGCATGATTTTTTCTCATTTCAGACCATGTGTCATTCTTTTGAGTCTAAGATTTTTTGCAATATTTGTATCCATATCTATTGCACATTTGCTAAATAAAGAACTTATACTTCAGGGAATGACACATTGTCTGAAATTGGAAAATATTATGCCCAAGTGGAGGAGGTCTATTATTATAGAATAACTGATATAAATGCGACCTACCTTCCTGTCAGTTTGCACTGGCCATTTCTTGGGTGTGTTAATCTCACGTCAAATTTAAATGGTTTCCTAGTCAAGCTGTTAAACAAAGGTAAATGTTGGTTAGATGAAATTTAGACATTTTGTTTTGTTATTGAAAGCCTGTGAAAGTGACTCAGGGTTATGTACATGTATCAATCTAATGATACCATGACTTTACCTGTTTTACTGTCTGTCAGTAGTGCCCTTTTTATCTTGTTATGTGGCTGGTTTGCAAGACAAGCTGTGAAATAAACGGATTTTAATCCGTTTTAATGTTTTTTTTTAATGTTTTTAATGTTTTAAAAAACGTGAGGATTTATCCAATCAGACCAATCTAGGCATGGACTGCACTGTACGAGAAAAAAAAAAAAACTTATATTTTACAACCACCACTCCCCATACAGGGCTCTTCCCTGAGGTTTCCTCCACACCCACTACCACTACATTCTATGTTTACAACATACAACTCTCATGTTGCTTTTTACGGAGGGAGGAAACCGGAGATCCYGGAGAAAACCCTTGTGGCAAGGGAGAGAACAGCACAACAAACAAATTCGACTAACATATGATCCAGTCTGGGCTAGGGCACAAACCCCGACCGCAGTGGTGAGAGGCGAGCAGTAAACCACTGCGCCACCCATGCCACCCCAAACGAGGTATCAATCAATCATTCAATCAATCAATATTTTATTCACACCAAAGNTTTGAGTTTTCGTATTTCTATGAAAGCCACAATATTGTGGTTAAACGAATAGATATGTTTTGCCAGTCCTCTAACCAAATATCTTTTGAGTTGCCCTATTTCATAATGACGTCACATATGAACAATGTATTATTTTAATATGGTATTTTAGATTTAATTTAGTGTAACACATTTCATTTTTGTTGAGTTTGCTATATTCCCTTTTCTTTGTGAAATAGCAGTTTGTTTAGGTTGATGACGTCTTTATGAAATAGGGTCATTGATATTATTCATTTCATTTTTAGTATTTCAATTTTTTCTTTCAAACACTCTTATCTCATTTTCTTTTTTCTCTTCTCTTTTTCTTTCTTTCTTTCCTTTATCCATTATTACCAGGGCTCAAAATAGAACAGCATTATAATAACCACACTTGTTTTTGGTGAGAAATAAGTTTTGGCAGAGAAACTTTGCCATATTGTTACCCATTTTGGATTTCAAGATGATTTATCATCTGTCAATGACAAGATTTGGCCTGCAAGTGCAGACTGCTATTTTGAGCCCTGATCTTTTTTTTTTTCTTTTTTTTGTTTTTGACAATATCAATATAAATAGCCCTGATAATCTTCTTTATATTTCATGTATCCTTTCTTCTGGTTGCTATTCTAGGCAATGCTTCTTCTTTTCTTCTTGTTATGTTGCTGTGCACTGAATACAGGTTTGTGTTTTCTGAAAGTACAAGATAATCAACAATAAATAACTTGTTCTAAAGGTAGGAGGATGTAAACTAAATATTTGAAGTAATTTCTCAGCTTGTAGGCAGACGTGAGATAGGTATTGATCAGTTAAATTCATGTTTTCTTAAACACAGCAACAGTCAGTGTTTGGTCAGGTGTCAGTGGTTGGGCAGATGTGAGTCAATGGTTGGTCAGGTGTCAGTCAGTGGTTGGTCAGGTGTCAGTCAGTGGTTGGTCAGGTGTCAGTCAGTGGTTGGTAAGGTGTCAGTCAGTGGTTGGTCAGGTGTCAGTCAGTGGTTGGTAAGGTGTCAGTCAGTGGTTGGTCAGNAAACTCGAAATGGGAGTAGTAAAAAATATATTAAAGAAAGAAAAGATACTTTCAAGGCTTCAATAATATTTCCAAAAATATTCTTTTCTCATATTTTTTGATATTAAAGATACATACCTAATGCTCCCCAGCATGTCCACACATCAGGTACTGTATATCATGTAACACGTCATGGGTAAATGACATAGAATGTCACCACAGTCTCTTGTAATACTCTGGGTAAAGCCACATTACATATCATCTGGTAGATATCTGCAGGACGTCATAGGTAAATGACATAGAATGTCACCACAGTCTCTTGCAATACTCTGTGTAAAGCCACAGTACATATCATCTGGTAGATATCTGTAGGACGTCATGGGTAAATGACATAGAATGTCACCACAGTCTCTTGTAATACTCTGTGTAAAGCCACAGTATATATCATCTGGTAGATATCTGCAAGACGTCATGGGTAAATGACATAGAATGTCACCAGTCTCTTGTAATACTTTGTGTTAAGCCACAGTACATATCATCTGGTAGATATCTGTAGGACGTCATGGGTAAATGACATAGAATGTCACCAGTCTCTTGTAATATGCTGTGTAAAGCCACTGTACATATCATCTGGTATCTGTAGGACGTCATGGGTAAATGACATAGAATGTCACACAGACTTTTTCAAATCAACCAAGATTTCTGTATTATTGCCATTTTTTATCATTTTTGTTCTTTCTGCAGTTATGTTTTTCGAGGTAGAGAAACCTTAGTGTTGATCAGGRTGGTAACTCTATTGTTGCCATTATTTCATCTTTTTTCTTTGCCATCTCCCTGTTTCACTAGAGACATGATTCGTTACCAAGCTGTCTAGGAGAACAGTGTAACTCTATTGTGGTAACTCTTTTCGTCGTCTTGTTTTTTCAGGTAAAGTGATATGGACTTCAGCTTTGTTTCCAAATATGTCACAGGCCATGCCGACTGATATTACTGGTGGATATTATTTTTCACATTTTGATAACTGCAAAGGAAGATAATCATTTATGATGAATATTTGATATTCCATTGGTGAACAAAAACTACTCTGGGAGTGGGGGTTGGGGATAGACCAAAAACGTACAACTAAATACATTAAAACATTTTTCAACTAAAATTTAACAAACGTTTAAAAAGTATTTCCGTTAGCTAATAATGAGTTCGAAATAGAAATAAAACGAAGCAGAACCCTAAACACTAGAAACCAAAAGCGAAGAC